GGGAGCAGAAAGCCTCATCTTTCTCCTGCGGAACAGCTGGTAGTTTTGAACTGCTGACCCTGAGGTTAGCAGCCTGATTTGTAACCACTACAATACGAACGTAGTGCCGCCAAAATCAGGATACTGGTAAAAAAAAAAAAAAAAATTTAAAATCACGATTTCAATATTCCAAATTGTCTCAAGATTTTTCTTCCCCAAAACACTGTAATAATATATATGTTATCAGTATTTTGTACCTGCCCAGTCACTTTTTAAACTATTAATGAACCTAATTCTTTCAGGGAAAGAGAGTAATTTACTCCGTACACAAATTAGTTCCAGCAACCTTCAAGCTATTCTTGTTTGACTTATTAAATTCCTACAGATAAGTCTTTAAACAGATAACCCTTAGCAAAATCCAAACTAAACAAGCCAAGTCATCTGATAACACAGACAACATTTTAGTCATTAGCAGAAACCACCAGTGAATGGAACAATGAAAGTAAGGAAAGGCAACCAGATTGTACAATATTATACTTTAATGAAGAGAGAGAAGCTGGGAAATCAGGTGATAAAATGTAAGAATCATCTATTTTAATGTAACCGGGATATGGAAGCAAGAATAAGGTAATTCACAGTCATGAGAATCATTTCTCATTCTCCAACAAGACCCTACCTGTGTCAGTGTTTGAAAAGCATTCCTTTGCCACCTTTGTAATGTTTACCATATCTGTACCATCTATATTCTAATATTTAAAACAGGTAGTCCACAACTTATGACTGGTTTCAGTTCCAATGACTGTCAAAAATAGGGACCGGTCAAATACTGATTTCCCACTGTATTTAGTTACAATTTCTTCCTAGTCTTTTCAAATCGACAGTCGTTCCTCAGTCTTTCATGACCTGAACACTGTCCCTCAATTTGTGTTTCTCCAGTATTTTCTCATGATTAGGGTGAAGTTATGGATCAGACTGGATTTTAAATCATGGAATAGCATATATCCACAAATCCATGCCTATATAAATAAAAGAAGGAAGCAATCTCTTCCTCACAGAATTCTGATTAATACATCCAAAAAGAAAAATGTTGTTAAGTGGTTGAGTCGGTCCCAACTCATAGCGACCCTGTATAGGGTTTCCAAGGAGCGGCTGGTTAAGTTTGAACCACCAACCTTGCAGTTCAAACTGACCTTGAAGTGGAGTGCTTATCCTATGGTGCCTCATCATAGATCTCTACAAATGGTAGTCCTGATGAGGCGCTGTAGGTTAAACATTCAACCTGAAGGTCAGTTTGAACTACTATGTCAATGGTTCAAACTCACCAGCTACTTCTAGGAAACCTTTTACTGCGTCGCTATGAGTCAGAACCAACTCAATGGCACTTAACAATAATCAACAAACATTGCAATGATCAATATTGCAGATAAAAGTTACTGATTCTCACTAAAATTAGAAGAGCAAAATCTTGAGTCGAAACTATTTGCTAACTCTGAAAAATATCTCCCTCATGAATAAGTCACTGGGCCTGGGAGTTCTGAACCACACTTCTGGGGGACACTGAAGTCAACTGACATAAAAACACACAATGTTCCGCGTCCTACCTTGGTGAATAGTGAATGGGGCCTTAAAAGCTTGTGGTCAACCAGCTATCTAATATCTAAAGTGAAAAAAAAAAACAAAAAAACACTGCAAACAACTAGTCAAATGGACTAAAGGAACGCACGAACATCAGACTCCATGACCCTGAGACAAAAAAACACTAAATAATGTCTGGTTACCGTTACCAACCACTCTAAAAAGGATCACATTAGAAAGTCTGAGACAGTGAAAGAAAAATGCAACACAAATTCAAAAGCATGAAGACAAGAGTTTTGGTCAGAAAGAGAATGGAACCCCTGAGATTACCGTAATCTGGCCTGAAACAGAACTCACCCTAGAGGTTCAATTTTCGGCCAAACAATAGATCTGTAAGGTGAGCCATTTGAGCTCACATGAAGAAACAAAAGAGAACAGCTCAAACACATGATCAAGATGCAGAACCGGACAGCGTTTCTCAGGAAGAAAAGGTAATGTATTTAGGTAGCTTCAAAGGACTAACAGAAAGATCAAGAAAAGCAAGGTGAGCACAGAAAAGAGTTTATAAGAATTCAGGGAACAC